AGAAATTTGAAAAGTTACATTTATTTAGTGTAATTAACTTCACGTCGTCCACCTGCAGTTCCTTCGTAGCTCACTGCGGCTCTGCATCCCACACCGAGAATCACTGTTTTATAAAATATCATTAAATAATGATTAACCAGTTTTCTAAATCCTAATATTTATATATAAAAGTTTTGTCCAAGCGACACTTCAAACCCACAAATATTCAGCCTCGAGAGAGTTTTCTCCGACCGTCACCTGATCCAAAGTGCTCGCTTTGATGCCGACGCCCTCCTCGGTGCCGGCTCATTAAGTGCTATGAGAATGATGAAGTGCTTTAAGATGAAACACACGACAGACGAACCGCCCCCCCCAGCTGTGATGGTGTCACACGGACCTGTCGGGTGGACGGTGAGGTGGAGCCATCCTGCTGCCGGGAGGCGTCAGCTCCGCCCGCCCGCCCGTTATAAAAATGGGTAACCATGAGTTTCTGTTCCAGCGTGTGACTGTGGACAATTGCGCTCTAACACAACACGACGGCGAGGAAGAAGAGTGAGGAACGTGAGTCAGAGTGAGATCCGGGCAGTGGGCGAGAGGCTTGAAAAGAAAAAGCAGAAGAAAGACGCGAGCGTTGTGCACGCACACAGCCATCATGACTGCAGACTGTTCTGGACAGAGTCTCGGGAGTCCCTCTGTTCCTCCTCCTCTCCCTCCCCCTCCTCCGGATGTGAGGGACCGTTGTGCCTGCCCTGCCTGCCCGACCCTGCAGCGTCTCTGGGCTCTGGGCCTCTGGAGGTCCGATGTCCGTTTGGCGGAGACAGGCTGCGGCCCCTCGCCTTTTCCTGAGCGTCGCTGTCAGCTCTCCTCTCCCCCGTTGAAGATCTTTTGGTCACCGTCTTCTGTCTCCCATCCTCGTCGTCCTCGTCCTCCTCATCCTCCTCTTCATCGTCATCTGAGTCGATGCGGTTCAGTCTTTTGCGGACCGGACGATCCTCCTCCGATGACGACTCAGAATACGAGTCGTCGTCCTCCTCGCCCTCCTCCTCCTCCTCGTCCGTCGAAGGCCGCCGTTTCTTCAGCATCTGGGCGAGCCGTTTGCGCCGCTGCTGCGACAGGATCTCTCTCCTCTTCCCCCTCCCCATCTTCTCCGGATCCTCCTCTTCCTCTCTGTGTGTTCTCTTTAACCTCCTCCGCTTGTCTCTCTCCTCCTCGGCCTCCTCTTCCTCCTGCAGTCTCCTCTTCAGCCGCCTCCTCCTCTCTCCCTCGTCCTCTTCGTACCTCCTCCTCCTCTTGTCTCTCGTCCTCCTTGTCCGGAAGTCTTCCTCGTGTCTCCTCCTCCTGTTCACTCTCCTCCTCTGGTCATCCTCCTCCTCGTCTTCATAATCGTCCTCCTCTGAATCTCTGGAAGACGCCGACACTGAAGGAAAAAAAGACAGAAAAACTCACTATGAACAAAAATCAATGAATCCTAAAATCAACAAAAGGTAAACATTTGCTTATTGATAGTTATGACACTACCACCTGCTGACTTACTGATGGATAAAGTAAGATAAATGACATTTTTTCACCATTATGGAGATAAACCTGGAAAACAACGAGCAGATTTCTCCTTAAGGGCGACTGAGCTGATTAAAACTCGTCTTTACGCTCTGATGGTGACTGACCGTCGCTGTAGTCGCTGGAGAGACGCTCCTTGCGAGGCCTGCCGTGGCGCTTCACCTTGTCCTTGTTGGCGGAGGCTCGCGAGTCGTCCGACGACTCCGACGTTTCGCGGTAGTTGACTTGTTGGCGCTGGCCCCGCCTCAGGCCCCGCCTTTTTTTGTCACTGTTGCTGTCCGTCATGTCGCTGAACTGATCTGAGTCTGAGAGACCAACAACCAACAAGTGAACTAGTTATCAGTGAGACACCTTTCCCTCTGTCTCCCTCTGATTCACACACATGTATTCTGTTCCTATCTGAACCTCCCCGCAGATCACAGTCACAGAAACTCCTGCCTGACCTCATCTGTCAGCGAACTACTCAGAGCCGACCCCCGATGTAATCCCACCTCCACCTTTAAACCATCCGTCGCTCCCACTGCACACCTGACCGCTGCCTCTCTGTACTTGTGCATGTTCTGCATCACCCTCACTTCGCTCTTGGCTTCCTCACGCAGCAGCACAGCTTCTCGCCATCATCTGTTTTCTCCGGATCCACAAAGACACAGCGCAGCTGCTTCAGAGCTTCTCTAAACTTCTCCATCAACACCCTGAAAGCAAACCTTACATCTGCAGAGCTCTTTCTCAGCATGAAGCCAAACTGCTGCTCACTGCCTGCCATCTGTCTCACATCTTCCCTGTTCTGGAAAGTCCAGGATTGTGTTAAATGTGTCGTTATAATTAACTATATTTATAGTTTCCTGATAATTGTCTAAATATTTATTTAATCTACTGTTAAACTTCTTTATTCAACTAAATACACACAACTCAGTCTGTAATAAAATCAATCAATCTCACCCATCTCTTCCTCGCTTTCCTCCTCTTCCTCGTCGGAGGAGCGTCTCCGCCGCCGCCTCAGCCGCTTCCTGCCCCGCCCACGGCTCCTGCCGGGTCTGTGTTTAACCACTCCTCTCAGCGCCTGTCTGGGGCGAGTTCTGCTATCCCAGCTCCCGGCATCACTGCCCGCGTCTTCGTCTTCCTCCTCTTCGTCGTCGTCTGCTCCGGATGCGCCGAAATCTTCGTCCTCTGAGCTGTTGAGAGGAAGAGGGGGATAAATAAGCCGGCAAACAAGATACGAGTGAGAAATCTGGAGAGAAGCCGCTGTGTCACCTGTTGCTGAGCATGAACTCGTCTTCGCTCTCCGCCGCCGTGCTGTCGCTCTCCAGGTCGTTCAGTCTCCGCTTCTTCCTGTTCCGTGCAGCGTGTGTCTGGCTTCTAATTGGCCGCTGACTCTCCTTCCCGTCCTCTGACAGGCTGGTGGGGAGGTCTTTGCCCCGCCCCGCTCCTGAAGCGAGAATAATGCACGTGAGTGCTGAAAAATCGACTTTGGGTGAAAGTAAATGAAAGCAGACCGGATGTTCTCATTTATTTCATCTGTTCATCCTCAGTGCAGCCCCTCAGCAAACAAGCTCCTCCCTCTTTAAAACTGCTTTTTTATGATTGGCTGCCCCTCATAAACTGCCAGACATGCAGTCTGAAGTATTTGTACATACAGTGATTAA